GCCCCCCAGGGCAGACCCCGGCCTAGCCCAGGTGCTGGCTTACTCCTCATTCACACCCTCGCACGTATTCCCTCTCTCTGATACACACCCTAACTTTTCCCTCTCTTGCTGTGTCTTTGCATGAAAAATCCCCCTCCCCCCATTTCTAATACTCTATAACATTAGACAAACGTAAAACAGGCCCAGATGGCAGCTTGGGCTTAATATAAAATCAATAGTCCCGGGACAGAGTGGAGTGGAAATCTCCAGAAGGGTGAATAGAAGGACATTCAGGCCCTCAGAATGCCAAAACTTTACCCCCTCAACCCCCCCCCCCCCCCCGCCTGCCTGCCTGCCCGCCCCTACTCGCCCCTCCCCCCCCAAACTCCCGTTCCTCTCTGCCAAGCGTTTGACACAAAAGGCAACAAACCTAATTCACCCCCTGAAACACTCACCCCTCCTACTTCAGCACCCCCACCGCCAGGTCCTCGCTCAGCTTCCCCAGCTAACCACTGCTCAGGCGACCAGCAGTGGGCTGGGGGGCTGAGGATGACTGGGGGGTGGGGAAGCTTAATGGGACTCAGATTGAGAGGGAGAGGGCAAGTGAAAAGATGCCAATAGCTCAACAGGCAAGTTAGCCCTCCCCCCGCCCCCCCATTTCTTAAATAAGGCCATTGAGTCGTCATTAGGGTAAGGATAATTGCCACAATAAGAGGACAAGGAGGTGGTGATGGGCGGAGCAGAGGGCCAGGCTCTGATTCGCAGGCTGCCCTTGATTGACAGATCAACCTCGTACTTCAAGCTTGAGTCTGACTTGACTGCACATGACACTTATGTCACCTCTGCCCATCAGTTTGCATTCTGAGTGACTTTCTCTTTGCATGTTCCAGTTATGCTCAAATTGTGGGAATATTTGACAAAAAATGCCGCTCATAGACAATTCTTTAAGGATTCCTGAAAAATTAAAGCTTAGCCTGCAAGCTAATGTGCAAAGTCCTTTATTAAAAGTATCACTTATTATTTTTGAGCAAAGTATGTGACAGAAAGTTTTTGTTTCACACGTGTTCTTAGTGATCATTACATTCAAGTGAGTTTCAAAAGGAAGTTCACAGAAGGATACTTGACGTGATTTTGTGCACTTACCTGTGTGTATGTGTGTGTATGTGCGCGTGTGTGCGTGTGAGGGTGTGTGTGTGTGTCTTGTGCTCAGTCTCTAGAGCAATAAACCCTGTCACCCTGGGTGCCTCACCCTCCTCTGCGGGTGACACATTGCTTTGGGAGAGAGGGGACAAGTAACTGCTTAGGTGATAATTAAGGTGTTTTATCTTAATTTGAGTCGTTGAGGAGTATCCTCCGGGGTGATTTATGAGTCAAAGGTCAGTCTCGCTTCACTGGCCTACTTGTGAGCCACAAACACACAGCAACCCCCCGCCAACACAAAGCAAAAAAAGGTGCCGAGTGTTTTATTAGTTCTTTTTAACATTTTAATTTCAATTTGATTGACGTCTTTTTACTTAAATACAGAGACTTTGCATTGTTACGCAAAGAAGGTGCACTCCTTTACAGGAAGTGACAAAACCTCACACAGCGAAAATCAGTTAATGTGAAGAGAAAAATGGCTACTTTAGAAGCTTTTTTAGCTTTATATTATGTGCATTTAAAGGCCCTATTATATTATACTGGATAAGAGGTTAGGAAGATGGATGGGGAGATAGGTAAGAGAGGGTTAAAATTCCATATTTGTTTTTCTTTTTTTGAGACATTAGCTTCAGCCCAGCGCTGTAGACCCTTTTGAGTGGTGACTGTTAAAAACGCTCATTGCACACGTTACGTTAGAAAGGGCGTCTCCCTGCACCCAACCCAAAAAAGGCACCTTGCGATGTTCCCTGTGTTAGGGATCGCACCTCAGCGTATGGCATCTGCAGGCAGAATTTTGCTCAGGTGTAGGTGCCGTACCCGTGTGTGTGGGCTTACGGTGAGCAGATGCCGCAACCGAACAGTTCAGGATGCTCCGTTTGCCGTGACTCCTGTTTCCTGAAGGGTTTCACCTCTCTATCCCCTGCACTGAACCAAAGGAACACTCTGGAAGCGTCACTGGAACGCAACAGACGACCGCTGCAGGGCTCAGGTTAGCGGCAATGCCACACCCAGCAGGGTCAGCTGCTGGTTTCTCCACTTTTCTTTGGTGTTTGACACACGTCCTGTCTGCCTGCATTCAGGGGATTTTTACTGACACAGCAGCGGCTCAGAGTGAACTTGCCGGATAAACCCGAGTTACCTCTGCTCGTCTTAAAGCCACATGCGCTCTGAGGGGCCGGCAGGTTTGGGTTCCTGAGGAGTGCAGAATGTCCTCCTAGATAAGGAGCCAAAGGCAGGAGCAGACGAAAGGCTGAACAAAGGGAGGTGTGACACCAGCTTGGGGCGAGGGGCTGACTGTTACCCGTGGAAGTTACCCATTGACCTGCGACCAGCATAGCTCAGATAAGCCTTGTTTGTATTTCCGTGAAAGGTTCCCGCCCCCCCCCTCCCTTATCGGGTGGAAGGGGAAGCCAGGGTCCAAACAACCGGGGCCCGCTCCCAATGTTCAGGCCTCCTGGCTGGAGCCTTAACTTTCACCTCTGACCCCAGTAACTTCGCACCGGCTCCAGGAACGAGACTGGAGGGAGATACTATCTGCCTGGCTGTAATTAGCAGGATTGCACTCTGTCCTTTGTTCACGGTGGGTGTAATGCTTTAAAAATGACTGGTTTTCCAAACAGGGGCATGTCTTCTGTTGACAAATTCTCCTCCGTCTAAAAATTGTGTTTACATTTTCATGACTTTACATGGATTAATACCTGTTAAAGATCTTCGGGAAATCTTACATAAATTGCCAATATTTTAATAAATCTTAAATTATTGCACAGCTTTTGACAGAGGTGCACCTAGATATTTTGTCCCCCCTAACAAAATGTCATCATAGATCCAATTTGCATGTAATTTTATGTATTGAAGAGCCGCTGACACAGGCTGGGCCCCCTGAATCTACCAGGGTATCCATACCCCTACTGTGGCCCCTGGAACGTGCCGGGCCCCCTGAATCTGGCAGGGTATCCATGCCCCTACTGTGGCCCCTGGAACGTGCCGGGCCCCCTGAATCTGCCAGGGTATCCATGCCCCTTTGGCACCCCTGGCTTTTGAAACCTGTATAAAGTACAGACTTTATATTGTTACTGAGCTGTCGTGTTTCACCACAGCATCACGATATCATTCACAAGATTCACGCACCGCAGCAAATGTGTGAAATGTCAGCGTGTTCTCAGATGATTTCATGATATGGGCTGGGGGGTCTCTTCATGCCGATTGCGGGGGCATGTACATGACACAGAGTGCGTCAATACAGCCGTGTCTCCTTTTTCATGGAGCCTCCCAAAAGGGGCGGGGCCACTGGCAGAGGAGCTTCCGCGACATGGAAACGGTGTCAGCCAACGGAAGAGTTCAGGAAGATGATGGGAATCAACCAGCCCCCCCCATCCCACCCTTTTGTGATTAGGAACAGTTATATTTAACATGCAGCATGAGAAGATTGGCCTGAACCCTCCACCCCAAGAACAATCCTTTTGGGTGATCCTCCAATGGGAAGGCATCCATATGACGCCAAGAAAGAGCTGAAAGAACACTCACACATGGGGGGGGGGGTCTGCTGTGTTTGTCTGTGAACCCTGTCTGACATGGGGGGTGGCACATGTGTGAGCATTGCAGGAAACCAGGATAGGAGGCTGGTTATGGGTGGCTGTGTGCCCACCCCCCCCTGCCCTCAGCCTTACCCCCAGCCTCCCATTCCCCTCCGAACCCCACGGGAACTGTGATGACAAAACACCTTCAGCAACTTGCGAGAATTATTATGCTTTTCTTTTTATTTCATGAGTGAGCCAGCAGAGTTACATCACCAAAGCAGGTAGTGTGCTGTTGAAGAACCAGAAGGTTTTTGGGTCACATCTCAGGCCAGGCTGGGCTATGATGTCCAAATAACTAGTAAAATGCCTGACTGTGGAGGGCTTGGCGGCCTCACGCTTCCAGGAGTTGGGCTTTGAATTCCAGCTCCACTCTCTGTGTGTCTATAGGAACGCCCAAGCAGCATCACCACCTACTGTTGCTATGGAAATTGGACGAATAACAGGACACAGTGTCTGGCCTGTAATGCCACTTTACTGTGTGGTGGTTGGGAATTGTCTCTGCAAATCTTTTCTTCAGCTGCTCTGAGCTCCTGCCCTGTCCTCTTTTCTTACAGACTCCTTTCCTGGACCCTTTATTGCTGTGTCTCTGGGTGCCTTGGTACTAAATTAAACCTCAGCATCTCCTCCGCCCCTAAAAACAGACCTACGGTGCTTTAACCTCAGTGGCAGCCCTTTGTCGTTCAGCACCCACCTGTCAGTGCGGCATGGCAGATCCTCCCCTGGACAGACCCCTTTGCACCCCAGATTTGTCCAAGGCCTTTCTTTGTGTTGCCCTGTGTCTGCAGGGTTTTTTGGTTTCAGGCTCACTATAGACATACCCTGGTCATGTGGAGAAGATATTTCCACCAGGAACATCTCAGGTGTCAGTCATGTCCTTCCTCAGCCAGGTTTTGGTGCTGTGTGGGTCCCTGTTCGCACCTGCAGAGCAGCAGAGGTAGGCGGGAGCTGTACCTGTTAACATTACTCAGACGGCCTGCTGTGAAATACAGCCCCAGAGGAAGCAGCCTTATTCCCAGAGTGTTTTCTGCTCTCAAGAGACCTATATTTTGACTTGTGCACCTTGGAAAGATGTTCCTGGGAAACATATCTCTCAGAGCGGTTCCCGAGACACACATGACTCATGTTTCTACATGGGTGTTAAAAAAGGCTAACGTTAGCGGTGAGCCGAGCAGACACCGAGCGTGTCAAAAATAACACAGCACCTTAGCACGTCCAAGGCTATTTCTGAGTCTGGTATGTAAATTGACCCCTCAGGAGGGGCCATTTGCCATGTAATCATCTTCATACGTGTCGTGTACCCCAAAAACAAGCATGTCCCACTAAAGAGGGCCGAGGTGATGTCATTAGTGAGGAGCGGCTAGGCTGAGGGGGACGTGGGCGTTTTTTGAGCAGCGAGCCCCAGCGTGTCGTTGGCAGAGAGCGCGGCGACGCTGCGGAAGGGGCCTCCTGCAATGCTATCCCTCGACGGGAGGGATAATTTTAGCCCAGCCCTAGGTTTGGTTCCAGTGTGTCGGAGGAGCACCAAAGCCGACTGCTGCTGCGGTGAGTCCCTCAGATTTGCTTTGCTGAATCTGCTGCTCCTTAGGGGGTGGGGGTGGGGGGGGGCAGAGTGTGGGCGGCAAGGAGTGGGAGGATGGAATCCACCATTCCGTGTCTTCCGAGCTCCACGTTGGGTGTCTGTCGGAGATCCTGCTGACAGCCCCCCCCTCCCCCCGGTATGCCTCACCCCAGAATTTTTATAGATTTGATGATTCCTTCCTCCATCCATTGCGAGGCACGAGGGAGCGGGTTGATAACCACGCAAGCGCTGCACATGCGTCCGTCCCTAGCGGGCTATTAGCGACTAGCTGTAATGCGTACATTACAGCGAGACTGCTTGGTGTTTGCTCAGAACAGCAGTACAGCCTGACAGCCAGGCTCAAGTGTGATTACTACTCCCTTTTCGTTTATCTCCCCATGATGCTTCCTGCTAGCTACAATCACTCCAAGAGCCATGTTGGTTAGTAGAGGAGTATCCTCCAAAGAGGCCAACAAAGTCCCGGTTTAGTAAGGGTTAATTCTGGCTGGTAACTACATGGACCCAAGTGTGTTTAGGAGCAGGTCTGTGTCATTTTTCTGCAATAATATGGAACACCTCACTATCCCAATCAGGACCTGTGAGCTACCTCTGTCCATACAGCCGAGTCACCGACTAATCAGTCGCTTGGGTTCTCTGTAAATACAGCCCATTTTTTTTCTATTACATCATAAATCCTTGGATTTTTTCTTTATTTTTAAAAAAAAAAAAACAATCCTGCAATCCTCGCATATGAAACACATAACTAAATTCCAGGCTTTGATGTTGAGCTTTGGAAGCATTTGAAATTGGTCACTTTGTTTTTTTTTTTAAAAAGAATAGAAAAGAAAACTTCCATATTAGGCTATTTATGCTTGAGGTTAAAGTTCTGCAAGCGATTTGCAGATTAGAAGCGAACTTTAATTTGCCGGGTCACTGGCTCCCATTGGTACATCCAAGTCGTGTTTTCATTTTTGAAGGAGCACATATTTTGGTAGCTGTATGAAAAGGGGGATTTTGGTTTTTCAAGTTTCTGCCATCATCATATGAAACAGATTAAAATGCGGCTTGCCAGGGTATTTCGGCATGAAGGTCGCGTGTAACCAGGTCAGCATGCTTTTGAGCCACCCCTAGCTCACCTGGGGGATTCTTTCACACAAGGAACTCACAAGTGGATGCAGCCTTCTCTGTCTTTCCTATCCCTAAATCCTCTTTGTTTCTCCTTTCCCCTCATCACTCTCAGCATCGGCTTTCAGGAGCATTTCTAAGATTGTGAAAGAGGATTCGATCATCCTAAGACTCTGAATGACATCGCCTGCCCCATCCTGACATCCTCCACACCTCCTAATTCTAAAAGCATCCTGGGCATGAAAGAGAAGGCACCAGGGCCCAGGGTGTTCTGGACTTGATATTCTTCGTCGTACCAAGGAAGGCTGTTGTACAAGCATCCCAATGGACTGCCCACCGGTCCCAAGATGCCGATTGGTTCACATGCGACCCGTGGAGATGATGCAAGCAAAAATAATTGAATCTTGTCCCATCTCAGCATGAGAACCCAACCTGCTGTCGGTCAGCCATTTTTCTTGCCCAGTTTTAACGTGGGACTGCCATTACAGCCTAGTTTGTGTTCCGGTATCCTGTGGGCTGGAGAGGCATGAGCGAAATGTCTGTGGGACCAGACTGACCCCTGGCCAAAAAACACATGCAAAAACACGCCGTGAGGATACGTCACTATGTTGTCTGGCTTCCCACTGGTCCAGTCGCTAGACTTTTTTCTCCACCAGCCCCCCCGTGCAAAATGTTGAATGTTTTGGCGCAAGTTATTAAAATTAAGTGCTTTGCATATATTCCTTTTGCTTGCAATTATGGGCATCGTTAAATACTCGGTTACGGCTTTGACCCGACAGAGCGACCGTAAAAGCCCACCTTCCCCTCTCTCCCGCGTTCCCAGGGCCACTAGCGGAATAATCCATCATCTGGCGGTCAGGAGCGGTCAACAGATGTAACCGCAAGCGACCACATCTGAGGGCAGTGGGAAGGCGTTGGATTCAGAACCCTGCTTTGTCCACTTCAACACCTTTGGTAATATTTGAAAATTCAGTGCAGTTAGTGGACAGAAGATTGAAATGCTCTTATGCTTGCTTTCATTATTTTATTTTATTTTATTTTTCTTTCCCAAGGCCGTGAAGGATGTGTGTGTGCACTTGTTAGCAGGTCCAGGCTAACACCAAAGTGGGGTGGTTCCCCTGCTCTCCGATGACCATAACGCCGTGGCAAATGGATGTATAATCTGTGAGGAACGGTGTGTAGAGAAACAAGGTCAATATTACTCACTTAGTAAAAATCATCTCTTCGGCACAGCTGTTTGGGTTTCTCACAGTCATGGCTGATTATTTAGCTAGCTAACGCAGTGCTTATTTGTATTTACGGAACAATTATTTGGGGGTTTCATGGTGGAGCCTCGTCTGTGATTCGAACCGTATCCAAGCCCCGTTGGTTTACTTCAGGCGGTTCCGCCAGTCGGCAAGCCCAGGTGGGGGGTGGGGGGGGGGCAATCTGTCCTGCAGCTTCGGACTAAGCTATTTCAGGCCTCCTGTCTATAGGAGAGGATGGGGGAGGAAGTGTGTGGGTCCGTGTCCTGAGGGGGACCGTAAGACATGTCATTACGGTACAGACCATAACAGCAGATGAGCCCCCCCCCCACTCCAACCTCCAGCCCCCCTGCTCTCTCTCTCTCTCTCTCTCTTTCTGTCTTGGATTGCTATTGGATGGCTCTATTTAAGGCTCTCTATCTGCCTTAAGCATGGGTTAATAATGTCTGGGGACCCCCCCCCCCCAATTATGGGGATCTTACAGGGATCTCCGATGCCCATTTTCTGCTGCTTTTTCTGTTTCTCTCTGCTTCACTGGAAAGAACTTGGTTCTCAATGTGCTGCATCAGCAAGGCCATGTCCTGTCAGCCCATGTCAGCTGTCTGTCACACGGACACTGGATGGGCCCGGCAGCACCGCAAGGGTTAAGCGGCACCGGAGGCCCAGAGCCCAGCCTGTGACGCACTGTCTCAGAGAGGGGGAGTCTGACAGGAAATGCGGGCCCAGAGCCCGTCCCAGTGCAGGTTCCAGCGCAGGTCCCAGCGCAGGCGAGGTGAAGGTACGTTTTCCTTGGCTGACTCCTTGCATTTCTTGACTTGTTTTTCCAATTGGCCTGACTACGGCGTGATGGTTTTTGTATTTGGAAGTCACAGCAAGTTCCTATTTTTATTCCGGTGGATGTCTTGTTTTTATTGCCATTGTGGGACTAATTCTGCTTTCTCCAGGTTTTCCTTTGCTGCTAACCCCCCCACCTCTCACTCCAACCTTTCCCTGTTCTGAAAAACACAGACCCCCTCCTCCTGCTGAATGGGGAGGGCTGCCCCGCGTCCCTGCAGGATCGAGATGTGCTGGGTGTCTTGTCCTGCCAGCTTAGGCCACACACTTGCCGGGGCCCCGGTTCTGAGCTGGTCCTCGCGGACCCTGGTTCAGACGACACCGGGTCAGAATCAGAGCGCTCGTGGCACTTCGACCTCCCAGCATGCTTTGCGGGTGACTTCTCGTGCTCGCTGGCACCCACTGGGAGGGAAGGGTGTGGGGAACTGAAGTGTTTGCAAACCTTGAGGGGCGGGCTTGGGCGGTGGTGGGGGGCACGGAGGGAGGGGCCCTTCTTCATATGTTAATATACAGCACATGCGACCGGGCCCTCGCAGCCTTTGGGGCGCTGACAGCTCCGGCATTCATGCGGCCCTGAAATGGGCTCCCTATTCAGTGCCCCTTTCAGCAAGGAGAGAAAGAAAAGGAGGGGAGGAGTTTGGGGAAGGGAGGGGGAGGCCTTGGATGAGTAAGGGGGGGGTCTCTCTGTCCTGCCTGGCTTCCAGAGAAAAAGAAAAACGATTGGTGTGCAAATGGTCCAGCCTTCCAAATGTCAGAAGACACTCCCCTCCCCTCTGGAGTGCTGGAGGATGCACGTTGGTGGGGGGGGGGGCTGTGTCATAGGGGTAAGGCCCCTGGTATCCTCTGAAATTTTCATAGGTCAGTTGGGACAATGGTCACTTTGATAGCGGTGCTATCCAAATGTAAATCAGTAAAATTGAAAAAGACAAAACACCCCCCCCCCAAAAAAAGAATACTGCTTTTCTAAAGGAGGGGGGACTTTTCAAACTGCTCCTCACTCCCCTTTAGGAGACTCTTCTCATCTCCTTCTTATTTTCTCAGAAAAGGCGTAGCGGGCTGTGTGGTGGGGCTCAGTAGCGCCACCTTTGGTATCTCGGGAAACGAGCACCTTCCGCACTCGGCACTGGTGTCCGGTGTCATGCCTGTCACTGGGTCAATGGCTTGCTGGTGTCCTCTGATCCCTGTGCTTTTACATCTGGGAATCTCTCAGACCACCATCCAGTATGGTGAGACGCAGCCTTTTATGTACCGATTCAGTACATCTGTGCCATTCGGTACCATACTTAACAGCCTTTTGATTGGCTGATCAGTTTGTGGATCACAACTACTTAAATGGTATTGTTATTATTATTATGGTTACTTGCTTCATTCATAAAATTAAATTACTTGTCACATGACCTGGTTTTACCAGTAGATGAATTTGCTATGACTTGACGCTAGTTGTATTTTCCCAATTTCAGTTCCAGTTAATCAGACACATTGATAATGATTGGGAATGGAAATCGCATTGCAGATTGTTCTGATGGTTCTGATGGCAGATTATTAGGTCTGAGTTTTTTTTACTTTATAGCAAGTACATGCACCAATGGTCAAAAAAAGTATGACCACCCTCTTGTGAAGCGAAATGTTGACTTGTAATAGCAGTGCATGCCGATGTCTGGGATATATTAGACGGTAAGTTAACATTTGGTTCTTGTAGCTGACATGTTGAATGCAGAAGAAATGGTCTCAGGATAAAGATCATTATGGCCAGACGACTGGGTCAGAGCTTTTCCGAAATATAGCTGTGGTTCTGAATTCTTGATCTTTCGTTTGGTCCCACAGATGCTCGACATGTACTCGGCCATGACACAACACAAAACAGGTTTCACCAGACCAGGAGACCTTCTTCCTTTGCTATAAAGTCCAGTTCTGATGCTCACCTGCCCATTGTAGGCATTTTTGGCGGTGGTCAGGGGTCTGACTGGGCACTCTGACTGGTCTGTAGCTACACAGCCCCATATGCGGACCGGGCTCTGTGCCCTGTTTCATGACACGTTACTCCCGTGACCATCAAAATGATCTGCCATTTGTGCCACCGTAGCCCTTCTGCTGATTTGCACCTTTGTTCACATCCCGCATCCTGTCCATTGCCCATGGCTCCTTCCTCCTTGGCTCACACGCCAACGCTGTACCTCTCATATGTCTTATGCTGCCTATGTCCCCATATGTCCCCTGTTACCCTGCACTTAGAAGATGGGAGGATGCATATATCTGCCGTTTTATATCATGATCAGGCCGCCATCCCTCCTCGTTGCTACTACTTCCAAAGCTCAAAATGACCTACTGGACAAATGAGAATGGATGTGTGGATAATGAGACAGCAGGGTGCCATGACCACTCAGTGGGAAATGAGACAGTCTGCAAGCCACAGGATCACACTGTCTCTGATCTAGGTACCCAGTAATGGAAGATTGATTGATAATCAGATAAAAACCAATGGGAGAATGATGGAGGGACCCCAACATGTGGCACAGGGTAACAAGTGCCCCTGCTTCTAGAGTCTAGGAGCACTTGCTGTCACATGAGCATCCAGGCCTCTAACGCTCTCATGGCCCCAAAGAAGTGATGCCATCAATGTAGCTGGAGAGCTTCAGACTGGAAGCCAGCTGTCCCACGCTCAACTGCTCCCCATTCGGTGTGGAGATAACTTCCATGTAGGTGTGTGTGTGTGTGTGTGTGTGTGCGTGTCTCTGTGTGACGGCGCTTTTCCTCGTCCTCCCGAAGGATCTGCTGTGAACAAAACAGCGCTTCACTTGAAGAGTGTCTCCATTGNGTTCTGGGGACCATTTTTCAGATCCCCACAATGATCTGTGAATGCAATCAGAAAACTAAAAGATATAATTACAAACCTGTGTGTGTGTGTGTGCGTGTCTCTGTGTGACGGCGCTTTTCCTCGTCCTCCCGAAGGATCTGCTGTGAACAAAACAGCGCTTCACTTGAAGAGTGTCTCCATTGACCCCGTCGCCTCCCGTGCGTTTGAAAAATCTGAGGAAGACGCGCAAATCCGGCGGGAAGACTCTCGGCGAGTGAGTCCGGCCTATTTACGAGGTCCGGGGACGATGGAAGCTCAGCGGGGTGTAAAAATGTTCCGCTTGGTAGGAAGGGGATGGAACGGTCACTTGCTTGCCAATCAGCTGCTGAAAAATGTCATATTTAAACGGGAATCCATGCTGCAGCGGCATGATAAAATGAAAATGTAAAATGATAAAAAAGAGATTTATTGTCCATGACTGAAGTGATGACAGTACGAATGCATAAATCTCTTGTGAAATGTGTTTCGAGATGCTATCAGCTTTGGTGATAAAGACTCTAGTCCCAATCTAAATAGAAGATCTATGACTGTAAAGTATACTCTCCTTAGCAAGTTTAAAAGTCTCATTTCTACCCCCAATGCCATTCGTTCTATGGCTTCCTCCCGTAACAGTAATCATGTGTAATTACAGCAATTATCATAAACCTAATTGGGAACAAACTGTTGCAGTTGTGATCATAATTGATACAATTAAATAGAAATCAGTGTTTGTCTACGGGACTCTAGTAGGAGAGCACTGAGCTGGCCTTGCATTTCCCAGGGTCATTTTTATCTCATCAACGTCCACTTGTCTGGAGCCAGCAGGTCACATTATCAGAATGTCTTTGGATTGAAAGAACCAAGAAACAGAAAAGAATCTGCTGACCTGGAGGGAGGAAATGATACATCTGTCCATGGATCCACCATAGACTCTCAAGGCGGGTTAGTCAGGGTCATTGTGAAGAACTGGATTGTTTGTTATTCCAATTGCAGACTCACTACAGGAGGAAGTCGGTATTCCTGATGGATTTCCACTGGAAAACAGAAAACCGACTGACGTGCATGTAAAAATAAACTGGGTGCGATAAACTGTGTTGCGCCAAAAAGTTTCATTAATTCATTACATGCAAGATATATGAGGGCGATGATGACCCTTCTGTTATTCCGTGGCTCCTACAATGACCTGCGCACTTCCTGGGTCTGTCTGACGCCAGCTGCTTTGAAATGTGATCCGGGCTCTGGTCTAGGAGCACGTTTAACAATTAAAGGCCGGCGCATGTTCTTGGCTCGTCTGAGACAAATGGGACACATCACGGAATAATGAAAGAAATGTTTTACTCGGTTGAACCCTTTTGATAACGTTTGATTAATGTAGCGTGCGCTGTTTCGTTAGAACAGATTAGGTGACGTTATCTAATGACAGGAGATGCTGCCTTGATAGACGGCCCTGTGCCATTAATTTTTGTGGAGAATAGAAGCCACTTTATGAGATGGAATTAAACATTGGTAACAGGCACTGAAGATTATACCATAATTATAGCACAAATATTAGATATTAATTGACTAATTTATGCTATTAAAGCTTAAGATTGGCAAACATTTCCACTCTTA